CCACGCCCGGGAGGTTCGTCGGCTCCTGCCGCGAAGGGCAGGGGACGGCCCCCTTGGGGCGAGGGCCAGCGACGGGCCAGGCAGGACGACGGAGCCGCGGCGCTGCGGCGCGTGGCTGGCGGCTCCGGGCTCCTCTGCCCCGAGGCCTCGGGCCCAACGCCCCCCGGGACTCCCACTGTCCTGCCGTGCTCTGCGGCCAGTCCCCCGTTCGCCGCACGAGCGGGAGCCACGGAGCCCTCCGCGGACCGTGGCGCTGGCGAGGCGCCACGTCGCGCGGCGGGCCACAGTGGCTCCACACAGCAACCATAACGGGCCACAAGTTGACCAGGCCCACAGACCAAGCCGAATAACAGACGAACGAACCCAGGGACGAACGAACGAGCACGTGTGGCTGAGCGACCAGACGATAGGCCCGTGCACAACCAAGCATGCCAAAACCACAGCAGCCAGCGCCTGGCGAATGGCGAACCTCCCATCGCACAGACATCCGTAAACAAGAGCTGACTGCACGGCAAGCACCATCTTGCAACGTCTAACCCTGCCATTGCCCTTCCGAGAGCCCGCATGAGCTGCAGTCCCCCGCTCCGCTAGACGACATCGAAGAGAGACAACTTCGGCAAAAACGGCGGCCAACGCAGAACACCTCGAGAAACGTATCGACAACAAAAAATGGCAACCCATCCGTGCTCAATACTACATCGCTACAACGTGGTGACCTCTAGTAAAGACAATCGCTATGACACGGAGACCCAAATTGAGACGAATGCTGTCGACCCGAAGGGAAGTCGACGAAGGACGACCCGTCAGAATGCCGCGGCCTGTCCAACAACGAAGCGCAAGCGGCCCAAAGCGAAATCGGCGAAGGCCAAAGTGTGTCTCGCTCGACTGTACAAACATAAAAGGGGGCCTCCTGATGTTCGATCCGGTCGCACGCACACTCGCGCTTCCGACCACGCCGACCTCACAAGCCTGTCGCGAGATTGCCCTGACAAATGTCCCACCCCCGTGCTGGTTCACGGAGGGCCCGACTGCAATGGTGCTGACACCGTCTCACAACCCCTCGAAGCTACGTGGGCCGATGCGCCGGGGGCAGCGTCGGGCGGGGATGTGACGAGAACATGGCGCATGCAGCTACAAGCTGCACCGTGCACGCTGGATGAGGCATCGATCATGGAGCCAAAAGGTATCATTGTCGGCGGGAGTTCCATTGTGGAGCTGGCGCGCTCGTGCCCACAAACTTCCTGAAGCGCAAACGCTCAAAAACGCTGCATGGCACCGCGGCCAGAAGACCTTACTTAGCCTTATTTCAACCACTTCCTCGCCCTGTTGCGAACCATACATTGAGCCAACTTCCAACCCTACCTGCAACCGTGCCATCATGATGAAATCGACACTTGTTTCCCGCTGCAGCTCCCTCACCATACGTAGAAAGGAGGCTCCCGGGGAGAGGTAGGCCAAAAAAGCAGGCGCGCTTCTCCTGGCGCATGAGCGGTGTGGCATCACCGTGACGCGATGTGGTATCGCCGTCGCCGTCTGGAAACGCCTCCCCTCTCACCGCCCACGAGGATGCGGCCAATGTAACGGAAAATGAACGTACAAATGAGGCACCCGTCAATGACCGAGCCCTCCGATGAAAACACGCTGTGGATGCCCACGGCGCCCGTCACTGCGGATGGCTCTTATCATGGGCTGCGCGGCGCCAACTCCGCACTGCCACTTCTCAAGGCACGCTACGGAAGCGCCGCATGAGCATGTATGAAGGGGAACTGGGACACACAAATAACTACACACAAATAAAAATATCCCCCATCTTTTCCTATAGTTTCTGGGTTTTTGTCTTCCCCACCACTTCCCATATTTTCCCATATTTTCTGGGAATCGCCGATTCATTGTGTCTGTGTGTTGCTTTCCCTCCTGAATGTACACTCCGCCACAAGCGAAACATTATTTTCTCCTGTGCAACCCCTGCGAGGCAATCCAACGACCTGGCACGCCCGTGCGCGAGCAGTATACCGCACGACTGATCCGCGGAAGCATCCCCGCTACGGAACCATCCGCAGCCCAGCCTGTCAGCCGAACATGCCCAAGCGCAGGTGGCCAACCGACTGACGCGCTGCAACATCTCCGCTGCCAAGGATGAGGGGCGCATGAGGGATGCGGACGAACGAGGGAGGAACTCCTGAGTAGAAAATGCTGAGCTGTCCGCACGCGGAGCTCACCTGCCGGACGGTTCTGCATACTCGCACGCGTGTGCGCGAATAGCATGCCGAACGGCCCGCCGAATAATCTCCGCTATTGAACAATCAGCAACCCAGCCTGTCAGCCTAATACGCCCAGGCCCGATTAGCAAACCACCTGGCGCGATAAAGAATATCTGCTGCTGGGCACCAAAAGGAAAAACAATGATCACATGATCCTGACGATGTACCCAACCCTTGCGCAACGCGTTGCCAAAACAGGTGGGTACATTGTATATGAGGGTGATGGCTTGGCAACACATGGGGCTCGCGTGCTACGCGATTCGCAAGACAACGATCGATGGACAAGAACTCGATGGACGTGATTAGTTCGTTCCCTGGGTTAAAGAAAGGCAGATACTAATGGGGAGAAGGCGGATGGGAGGCTCGACGCATCAGTAATTAGGGGGGGCCAGCAACCCTCGGAAGTGGTGACAGTTTCGCAGATCGCAGCCCCCCAGGGGTGACGAGGTCGAATCTGAATCTGGCTATGGCCCCCCTATGCTGGCCTCCCCCCCAGCAGCCTTCGAAAGTGGCGGCAGTTTCGCAGATCACAGCCTCCCAAGCCCCCCAGGAGTGGCGAGGTCTAATCTGAGTTTGGATAAGGCGACACTGTGGTGCCCCGCCGATGCAGAGCTCGAGAGTGGTGATAGTTTCGTAGATCGCAGACACCAAGAGATGGCGAGGTCTACTCCCACGCTTGGTTTGGCGACACCCCAGCAGCCCTCGAACTCGAAAGTAGCTGCATTTTCGCAGAATGCAGCCCCCCAGCGGTGGCCAGGTCTAATCTGAATCTGGGTATGGCCCTACTGTGTGGCCCCCCCATCAGCCCTCGAAAGTTGCGACAGTTTCAAAGATCGCAGCCCCCTTGGAGCGGCGAGGTCTCATCTGAGTCTGGGTATAGCCCCACTGTGCTGCCCCCCCCAGCAACCCTCGAAAGTTACGACACTTTCGCTGTCTGTCTCTAGCCTTGCATCCCTGACGGATGCGTGGGCAACACTGCGTCACGAAGTTGGGCTTGAATTTGAATTTGAACTCAGACAGAGGGTGACACGAACCATGCCCTGTTTCGTATCGTCTATGGGGCTCACGCACAAGATCTGGCAGCCCTGGGCGTGCAACAGCTCACGCGCAACAGATAAGGAAGCAAGTGCACAGATGTGTGCCCAAATTGCACAGATGTGTGCCCCGGGGGTGGCGATGTCTAATCAAACTCTGGGTATGGCCCCACTGTGCTTGCCCCCCCCAAACAGCCCTCAAACGGGGCGAACGTTTCGCAGACCGCAGACACCCAGAGATGTCGAGGTCCAATCTGAATAGGTGAATGGCGACACTGTGCTGGCCCTCCCAGCCGCCCTCGAACGGGGCGACAGTTTGGCTGATCGCATCCCCCCCCCGGGATGGCGAGGTCTAATCTGAGTTTGGGTATGGCGACACAGTGCTTGCTCCCCCCCAGCAGCCCTCAGAAATGGCGACAGTGTCGCCGATTGCAGCCCCCCAGGGATGGCGACACTGTGCTGCCCCCCCCCCCAGCAACCCTCGAGTGGCGACGGTGTCGCAGATCGCAGCTCTCCAGGGATGGCGAGGTCTGGCCTGAGTCCCAGCAGCCCTCGGACGTGGCGTCAACTTCGCTGACCACAGCCCCACAAGGATGGCGAGGATGGCGAGGTCTAATTGGAGCCTTGGTATGGCGACACCGTGCTGGCCAGCGCAGCATCCGTCGAACGTGGTGACGGTGTCGCTGATGGAAGCCCTCCAGAGATGGCGAGGTCTAATTTGGGTGAGGGTATGGCGACACTGTGCTGGCTGCCCTCGAACGTGGCGACAGTTTAGCAGTTCGAAGCCCCCCACAGATGGCGAGGTCCAATCTGAATCTGGGTATGGCGACATTGTGCTTGCAACCCCGAGAGCCCTCGAAAGCGGTGACAGATGCGCAAATTGCATCCCCCCAGGGTGGCGAGGTCAAATCTGAGTTCGGATAAGGCGACGCCGCTGTGGTGCCCCGCCGATGCAGAGCTCGAAAGTGGTGATAGTTTCGCAGATCGCAGCAACCAAGAGATGGCGAGGTCTACTTCCACTCTTGGTTTGGCGACGCCCCAGCAGCCCTCGAACTCGAAAGTAACGGCATTTTCGCAGAATGCAGCCCCCCCAGCGGTGGCCAGGTCTAATCTGAGTCTGGGTATGGCGACACTGTGCTGGCCCACCCAGCAGCCCTCGAACGAAGCGACAGTTTCGTAAATCGCAGCCCCCAGGGATGGCGAGGTCTAATCTGACTCATGGTATGGCGGCACTTTGCTTGCACCCCCCCCTGGCAGCCTTCGAAAGTGGCAACAGCGTCGCAGATCGCACCCCCCAGGGATGGCGAGGGGTCATCTGACTCTTGGCCTGGCGACCCTGTGCTTGCCAGCCCAGCAGCACTCAAAAGTGGCGATGGTGTCGCTGATCGCAGCCCTCCAGGGATGGCGAGGTCTGATCTGAGTCTGGGTATGGCGAGACTACGCTGCCCCCCCCCAGCAGCCCTCGAAAGTGGCGAAATTTCGCAGATCGCAGCCCCGCGGGGATGGAGAGTTCGGGGGCCAGTACGAGAGAGGTACGAGGCAAGAGGACCGAGAGAGAGGAAAAGAGAGAAAGAGAGAGAGAGAGAAAGAGAGAGAGAGAGAGAGAAACAGGAAGGAGGGAGGCTGGAAGAGAAAAAGACGCGAACACAACGCTCTATGAAGAACGAGAACCCAACAACGAAAAGCTGGGAGTCAAGAAATCAACCTCCAACCAATACACATACACGTTCGCTAAACTGGGCCCGTCCCGGTAGTTTGGATTCGTGTGTGATTGTCCGATACAGGAATCGCAGCGGGTAGCGAATGCGCTGCTTATGAAAAGGTAGGTATATGATTGCACATCTATGCGCAACGGCTCTGCCACCTCCTCCGCGCGCGCGGAGGGCGAGACAGAGGAGTGCGTCCACAGCAAAGGCTATGCCGAAGTAGCGCCCTGCGTGTCGTGCCTGCGTCCGATCAGCCTGTGATGCCACGTTTGCCCTTGCTGCAGACAAGAAGGGCGCGATTTGCTCCATCGGCGTCGTGAGGACTTTGCGAAAACGCTGTGCAGAACCTTTCATTTTCGAGACGGGATATTTTATCGACTCGCCCTTGGAGTATGGACCTTTCGCGCCCAGGTCTTATCGTTCGGGTCGGTGGCTCTGATTTTGCAACAGGCGCTGCTGGAGATCGCTGGCAAATAGCGCCGTCGTGAGCTTCGCAATCTGCCTGAACTCAAGAGAGCCCTCCTCGTCCTCACGGAAACCTGGATGCCTGCTGACCGCATCAGAGCCCAGATCATGTCAAGTGTCGATTCCAAACTGTCAAGCCCACAGTGAATGAAACTCTCGGAACTAAACCCGTCAAAGCCTCCGAGGGTCCAACATACACAGGCACCGTCCTTGCCAGCCACGCACGTACGATCTTCTCCTGCATGGCACCAGGCTCATGAGTGCTTTGGAGCACCACTGCAACTTGAATGGCTCTCATGCTAGTACCACCGTGTCGCAAGAGGAGCTGCGAATTCCTGTGGCACGCCATATTCAGACAGACTTGGCGTCACAATGTGTTGAGATTCCGGGGGGGAGCTTGTCCTGACCACTAAACTGGCCCAGAGCTTCTGAATATGCTTCCCGAGCCTTCAGCTACATCCTCAAACAACTCAACACGCAGCCAGAAATCAGCTGTCGGGTAATGGCCTTTCCAGCATGCCCCTCGCATGAATGCCATGGACCTGCTGTCAATCGACCGACTCGTTTGGCAAACTGTTAAGAGCGGCTGCAGCGCGGCGTCGTCCTCGTCACGTGCAGTCCTGAGTCGCACTCAACCAACGCATCCCGAAATCGCGGAAAGATGAGGCACTGGAGCTGTCTCGGTTTGAATTGCAGGTTGCTGAAATGAGTTATGAACACGTCGCACCTTGTATCCACGAAGTTTGCTTGCTGTTTCGTACTCTTGACAAACACAGAAGGGCCGCTTTCCCTTGTGCAAGGCGGCGGTCCCGTTCGGAGGTCAGTCTACCCTGGCCGAGGTCCAACCAGGGAATTGAGTGTGATGGACCGGGATCTCCTGCTCGCGACGCTCAAGCATGTAAAAACTGCTAACTGTGCTCAACCATTTGGAACAACAACTCAGCCTCGTGGTTTCTGTGCGAGAGCCCTGGTACGGTGTCAATGCCGCTACTCGAAAAAGAAAGCGCCCGCATGAAGGTGCCGGCACAGAGCTGGCACGTGTGACCGTGAACTTCTGTTGCGTCACATCCAACTTTGAAGAGGTTCGGCGAGCGCTCGCCCAGCCGATCTGCATACTTCGCTTGCTGCTCAGATCTGCCCACGGAGAGTTGCTCGCCCTCGCTCGGAGGCGGGGGGGGGGGGGGGCAACACCCCAAGACTGGAAGGGCGACGCCGTGCTGCGACATGGGGTAACTGCGTCAAGGCGCAGTGCACATGCTGCTGATATCAGCACTGCGGCAAAACAGCGGTGTGCCCGTTACCGCAGCACGACAGATGCGGTACGACGTGGTACGCTGCAGACGGTTATAGCCTTTAAGATCTTGAGCCGGTCCTTGAGCCAAGATGGCTCAATACTTCTAGCTGTTATGTTGCATAAGCATGAAGCGCGATTGCTCTACCCGTTTTGCTTCATGGACATGTGCAGCCCGTCGCCCACCTCCTTTCCCTTCCTCCACCGCACACTCCCTAATGGACGTCAGCGCTGGATTTATCAGTTGAGGCGTCCGTTTCAGCCACTGTGACACAAGCATTTGGTGGAATGTCCTCGCGTCCCTTCGAGGTCTCTGTATTGAGTGTTGCAAAATGCTCTTCAACGGCCCCAAATTCCTGATCCAGGGAATCGTCGAACGCTCCTGGGCGCTCCCAGGAGCGCCGCATGGCTTTCCCACAGACCTCGGAAGAACCCGCGTATCCAAGTATGGCCGCGAGGGACCGAGTCCAAATCCAGAAGAGCTCATACGTGCCTGAGGCAAACTATACAGAACCCTGATGTGCAGCCTGTTCAAGGAGCCTCTGACACATAAAAGCAATGATGTTTGCCTCTGGAGATCCTTGTGGGGGTCCACCTGGTACATTTGGGGGCGTCTTTGAGGCGTCTTGGGCCGTCCTTAGGCCATCCTGGGCTGTCTTGGGGCTCTATTGGGCCGTCTCGGAGTGGTAGTGGGCCTTTCGGCGCCACGTTGGACCCCCAGGGACGATATTCGCTCAATCTGCAAGCTCCTGCATTGCTCTCCCAGAGCCATCTTGACGGTGTAGAACTCTGGCGGGGGCTCCGGAGTAATCTGATAGGAAGACGTAGGTGTGTATATATTCAAACACACATATGCCTGACTCGTTCCAGGAAGCGTGCATCCAAAAAACAACTGTCCTTCCGCGGGCTTCCGCCGGACGTCCGATTCCGCGGGCGTCTGCTGGCCTTCCGCCGCCTTCCGATGGGCAGAAATACAATCCTCTAATTCCCTGCGATGGGCGAGGCCCTGCTTGGAGCGCTCCATATGTCGATCCATGTGTGTATATATATATAGGTCAATCTACATACATGCACCTACCTTTGTTTACTATTTCACACGCTGCGGGAAGCAATCAAACACCACACATGCAGACTATGCGAAAGACCACCTCGCCCCAGTTAGTAGGTTAGCACTGTCCCAGAACTTGTCACAGAAAGCAGGATCCCACAGCATGGGCTCTCCCCTTCCTCGCAACGGTGCCTTGAAGGCGGCTTCCGACAGTGAACCACACCGATTGCCATTTGTGCAAAAGAACTCGTTCCTTTCTCCCACCAAGCTCGCCAGAGTCATGGGCAGCGCGCCGTCTGCAGCATGGTGGCCTGCTTGATCGTGCATCTCATTCGTATTGTTTAAGCCACGCTTGGTGAGGCCAAGGCTTTTGACCAAGTCGTGCTGGATGTTCACGCCGGTAGCAGTCAGACCTGGCTCGGAGACGAGCGCGATGACATTATCGACGTCATGTGCAACAAGGCGATCATTCAGGGCACGAGCAAAGAGGCACATGCATGCCTTCGACAAGGAATACTGGGCCCACGCGTTGAAAGCAGCTGGGCCGGTACCGTCGAGGTCATGGACATCTTCTGGCCTGACGTTGAAGCGCGCGCCGCTGGACTGGCAGACGATTCGCGCCTTTGGGCTAGCCTGCAGAGATGGGAGCAACTCGCACGCCAGTAACCACTGACTCGTGGTGTTTACTTGCATGATTGCCTCGTGCCCATCACCTGTATCTTCGCGAGGGTCGCTTGAGCCACCGCCTCGACCGGCGTTCAAGCAAAGAACATCGATGCACGGGTGCGCTTCTCGGACAGATTTCGAAAACACGCGTACAGACGCGAAGCTTCTGAGATCCAAGGTCGAAGGAGGAATCACAATCTTGGCTTCAGGGACAGCTTCGGAGATTGCAGACATCGCGCCTTGCGCCTCACTCTCCAAACCTGGTCTTGCGGGTATGATCACAGTGTAGCCACAATGAGCAAGTAGCTTGGCAACGTAAAACCCAATGCCACCACAACTGCCGGTGACGAGAGCCACCTTGTCAGAACCACGATACGAAGCAGGAAATGTTCTGACAGCCTCGTGGTACCACCGGATCCCAGGTCCACCCCAAAGCTGCGTTAACTTCTGGTCGTAGTCACGATCGCCAGGGTTCAGGTATCCCACGTCACGTTGTTTCACAGCCAGCAAGCGCTGAGCTTCAGAATCGCCGCCCATTCGTCTCAGCCTGAATTGCCGTGTGGCGATTGCTGTTGGGAGCCGGTGGCGCGTGCAGCAAGAGAGCATCAAAGGGGGCAAGCTTGCTGCGGCGAATGGCTTCTGCCAAACTGAAGCCACAACGGCTACGGTGCATGCAAATGCCCCGATTGGTGCGTGGATACGTATCGCATCATGGGCTCGCCAACCTTCCGAAAATAAGAATGAAAGTATTAGCGACCACCACCGCTTTCACGCCTGGCGCCTCCCTCTGTCCACTGGGCGCTGAAGCGCATGAACCGTAGAAGTAACCTCGTGTACACGTGCAGACGTACTCGCCTGACTCCCACGCACGCTCGACAACATCGTGTCTCTCCATGATGGCGCCCCTGATGCGCGCGGGGAGGGCACCAACACAACAGCGGCATCCTCCCTTGCAGCCCGACGCTCGTCCCCCCTGGCCCCCCGAAGCCCCAGAGATTGGGATGTGGGGCATCGGTAGGGGATGACCAGCCCAAGGGGGAACACATCGACCAAGAATCGGCGATACATCGCCGATGCATCGGTGACAGGCCCCACAGCAGCAGAACCGCTGGTTCCTGAGCGGGATGGGCTATGATAAGCCCCCATCGGTGATGAATTTGCGATTGGGGGTCGATGCATCCCCTCCTGAGCGTACCGAGAGATCCGTGCTCCGAAAACATTGGAGCGGCCAATTTGGGCTGTTTTCGGCATCCGGGGGGCCTCGCAGGTCCTCGGGACCGTCGAGAAACGATTCAGGACGAAAAACCGGCCCTGGGGAACTGGTCCAGACCTCCGGGGGCCACGCATCAAAAATTTCCTGGTGAAGGACCCAACCGTATGCAGTTGCGAGTGCCGCAGTGGTGCATATCCTCTTCGGCGGAATTCCCTATGGAGCCACGAAGCGCGAGAGGGGTGTGCCGGAATGGGTGGCGGGGCCGCATGTGGTCACAGCCACTGGGGCCTTGGGTGGAGTTCGCTATGTCACTAGGGAGCCACGAAGCGCGTGAGGGGTGTGCCGCAATCGTTGGCGTGGACGCATGTGGTCACAGCCACTTGGGCCTTCGGTGGAGCTCCCTACGGGGCCACGAAACGCGTGAGGGGTGCGCCGAAATTTGTGGCGGGAGGGCATGTGGCAGCCACTGGGGCCTTCGGTGGAAATCTAATGTGGAAACGATACGTGTGAGAGGTGTGCCGCAGTGGGTGGCGGGGACGCATGTGGTCACAGCCGCTGGGGACGCATGTGGTCACAGCCACTGGGGCCTTCGGTGGCGCTCTCTATGGGGCCACGAAGCGCGTGAGGAGTGTGCCGAGATGGGCGCGGGACGCATGTGAACGCAGCCATACGCATGTGAACGCAGCCACTGGGGCCGTCGGTGGCGCGGCCTATGGGGCCACGAACCGTGTGAGGGGTGTGCCGACATTGGCGCGGGACGCATGTGAACGCAGCAATTGGAGCCTTCGGTGGAGCTCTCTATGAGGCAGCGGACCGGGTGAGAGGTGCGCCGAAATGGTGCACATGCGAAGAGCAACGGTACGATGCTGACGATGGCGATGGTGATGATGTGGATGTTGGCGATGGCAATGGTAATAACGATGATGATGCTGATGATGATGATGATGACGATGATGATGATGATGATGACGATGATGATGCTGATGATGATGATGATGCTGATGATCATGATGACAATGATGATGACAATGAGGATGAAGATGAGGACTTGCGGAGGGCAGAGGCAGGGGTGGGAGGAGGGGGTCGGCAGCGGGAGGATGTGAGGAGGAAGGAGGGGGAGGAGAGGACGGACAAAAAGGAACGCGGGGCGCAGTCTCTTCACAACGAGGACCCAACACCACAAAATGGTTGGGAAGAGTTGGAGCAGCCGGATGTCTGGGTATGCCCCCCAACGATGCCCCAAGGGAGAGGTAACCAGCCGGCACAGCCAGCGAAGACTGTAGAACCCTTCCCAGCAGGGCTTTTGGCCGCAGCCCCAGCTGGCCTCAAAGCGGGGCGGCCGCGGCACCCGCCGCCCCTGGTGAGACAGGCAGTCCTCACGACGGTGTAACAAGCACGGACACTCAGCACACGCGATACTACGGATGATCTGCTCGTGTCGCCCAGCCCCGTCCTCCCAACCCGATAACTGGTGAACGTGTTCTTTTCGGCGTTTCGACATTGGGCGGAAGGGGGAGGAGGGGGGGGGTCTAGCTCTGGACCTCTGCTTCGCACGACTGTTCGCGACAGCGCGTCCTGCGGGGGAGACCCCACCTGCTTGAAAGAGGCGCCCAAAAGAGCCAAGATCTACTCCTTGGGGTGGGGGAGGGGGTGCGAGGGCCCGCGCCGATGGGCGGCAAAACAATGAATAAGAAAACGACCACTTGTCTTTCTGACCTGGGCGCGGAGAGCCACGCGGGGCGCCGCCGGAGGCCGCCCCGAGCTGCCCCCCGGCCTGCCGAGGCCGGCCGGGAGTGCCCCTCCGCGTGGCCGCCCCCCTGCACACCTCGCGGCCTTCCCTGCCAGGCCTCCAACCCTCTGGCCTGCGCCCGATGGGCATGCATCGGGCACGGATCGGATCGCCGCCCACCGTCCAGACTCCGATGGGGATCGGGTCCCTGCGCATGGCCCCAGCTGGCCCTGGCCGATGCTGGTGAAGCGGACCGACTCGATTCGAATCCCGATCGCGGCCCCGGCCGGCGAATCGAACCGCATCGGCTCGGGCTGTGGGCGGCCCTGGCTCTGCCGCCCTGGCTGCCGAGCACACTCGCGCAGGATGCGCCCGCAATGCAGCGGGGTGGGCTCCCGGCGCGTGCTGCGCCGTGTATTTCTCCCCGCCCGCGGCGCTACTTTTGCGCCGTCTGGGGAACCGCCTCAGTGAGCCCTGGAAATGACAGGGCCGTTTTCTTACCAGTTCCGGTTTGCCTGTTTGTGACGGTTCCGACGCCGTTGTTTGCCGGTGCCGTCGCAGTTCTTTGACCAGTTCCGGCTCCGGTTCCAATCCTGGAGCCGTGCTTTTGCCGTTTCCGGTCGCCGTTTTTTACCGTTTCCATTTTCGAAGGACATTTTTCTGGAAACGGTGAAAAACGGCCCTGCCGTGTCCGGGGCCCACGAAGGAGCTCCACGACTGCTGCCGTCCTGCCAGCCCTCGCCAGCCTGGACCAGGATCTGGAGCCGCCAGGGCAATGCACCACCACCCAGGAGCGACCGAGGAGCACCGAGGACCGAGGATCTTGGACGTTCCTGGCCCTCTTTGGTTCCTCCGGCGGAGGCCTCGTTCTAGGGACCGCGGGGGACGCCCGGGGACCTCTCTCCGCCTTGCTGGTCTGTGGGGTGCCAGCGTGCAGGACGCATCCGCGAGGGAGCCAGGAGGAATCATACACCACCGCCGCCACCCCCGAGGCCTCTCCCTGCCACTCCTTCGGGCGGTGGTGGTGGTGACCCTCTCCTCCCTCCACAAGCCGGCACACTCCCATCGAGCTCCGCATGTTCGATCGGCGCCCCCGCCAAGACAGGGCGCACTCAGGCCACTCGCAAAGCGAGGCGATCTCTGCGGACCTGCGCCGCGACCGCGAGAGCCGCAGGGCACGCGGCCTCGCCGAGTCAGACTCGCCGAGATCTCGCAGGGCAGCAACGACGCCGTGGTGTGAAGGAGGAGGTGGAGCGGGTGGGAGAGAAAACCGCACGAGCTGCCCCAGATCCTCGAGGGCCGGGCTACTGCTGAGGGGCAAAACTTCTGAACAACCTTGCAAAGCTTTTGTCGGTTCCTCCTGCTCCTCCACCTTCCATTCCTCCTCCTCGTCGCCCTCCTCTCGTCGTCGTCGTCCTCCTCCTCCTCCTCCTCCTGCTCCTCCTCCGCCTCCTCCTCCGCCTCCTCCTCCCCTTCCACCCTCCACCCCGTTCCCTTCCTCGAACCTCATCGTCCATCCTCCTCCTCCCCTCCTGCTGAGCGCCCCCCCCCCCCCCTTGGGCTCCCGCGACTGCCCCATGCAGAGGGGCCTCTCTGGGCGTGCCGGCTGGAACTCCCCTGCTCCGAGGTGGAGGGAGGGGCTCTCCGCGGGGCGCGCAGTCGCACGGGCCCCCCCCCACGCACGATGCTCAGCGGCACGATGCCTACGTACTCTGCATGGGGTATTGATCAAGGGGGGGGGAGGGATTAACCTCCCGACTGAGCTTGCCCACTCCTGCCGCCCTCCGTCCTCCTCCGCCTCCTCCTGTTCCTGCAGCACGTGCCCAAACCCACCAGCGGATCCAAGGGGGGGGCGACTGTTGCCCCATCCAGAGTGCGGTCGGGAGCTTTTAGACAGCGAGTCGCTGCGGCGGCCCCAACGACACGCCATGCCTTGCGAAAGGATAGCGTGTCGCTCCGCTCCGCGGGGCGGGAGGTTTGGACAGGCTCAGGGCATGGAGGCTGGGGGACCGCGACGTGGATAACGTGTCGCACCGATGCGTGGTGGGCTAGAACCAGCGGGGCGGCACGCTATCCCAAAGTTCCCGGCCGTTAGTCTGTCGTGCTTGCTGCGGGAAGAAACAAGAAGGATTGGAATAACCTGGGAAATGGGGGACAAAAGCGGATACACAAAGCGGGTATGCTTTGGACAGCTGGTACCCAGAGGAGCCCGGAAGGTTCGCCCCTCAAACTTATCCACGCGCACGGCGCGAGAGGCGGCGTCACTCTTGTCCGTACCCGCGCCGGAACGAGTCCAGCACTGCCAGGCCGTCCTCGTCTCTCCCCTCGCTGAGCTTCTTCCACTTCGCCTCGCCGGGGGTCCGGCGCCGCCAGAGGAGGAGTCGGACAAAGAATGATGAAGTGCAGCCGCTCAGAGAAGCTGGAAGCACCACCACCCTCCTGGATGTTGAGTGTGGCAAAGCCGCACGCACCGCCAGTGTCGTCGATGTCATCAACGACGGCAACAAAAACTCGATGACCAAGATGTGCAGCAAATGATACGCATATGGCAACGGCATGCAGGCAGCAAGATCGTCGAGGCAACAACTGGGTTGGTTCCGAAAGAGATCAGAGCGACCTGGAAGGGGTAGGTGGAGATACCTCGCAGCCTCCCCGGCTGAGTTCCTCCTCACTTCCATCCCATGCTCATCCTCCCCTCCGTCATTCGCCCCCCAGCCTCCACACTTCTTCCTCCACCCCATCATCATGATGCTAATCCTCCTCGTCCTCCTCACCACCACCACCACCATCATCGTCATCATCATCATCATCATCATCATCATCATCATCATCATCATCCGTATCAGCATCATTATCATCATTATCATCATCATCATCATCATCATCATCATCATCTTCATCATCATCATCATCACCATCACCATCACCATCACCATCACC